CCGAAGACACTTCCGAGTCACGTGGCCAGCGTGATGAAGCTGCTCTGGCGAGCCAGCACCAGCGCAGCACACGGAAATGCCGTTTACCTTCCCACTATAAAGCGGTACCTATTTATCTACTTGCACTTAAGGGTGCTTTCGAACTGCTAGGTGGGCAGGAGCTGGGACCGAAAGACGGGAGCTCACCCCGCCGCGGGGATTCGAACTGCCGACCATGCGATCGGCAAGCCCTAGGCGCTGAGGTTTACCCACAGCGCCACCCGCGTCCCTAATAAAACAATACTTGATTGCTATACCAAAGATTCTCAAGAAAAGTTGGCAAAAATGAGTAGAGAAAAAGACAGCACAAAATACCATTAAACTAAATATACTAGATGTAAATCACAACAATTTGCTCAATGAATACCATTATCAACTAGATTCCCAACAACACTCATAAAATCTAACACTGGCAGTCATGCTTGCTCTTCACAGAAAACTGCTGGAAAATGCATCATTAGTGTCCTAGCTTCAAATACACATTTTGGAGCCAAGAGTTATTTGAGACCACAGCAACTGAAATGTTTGTTCTTTGGCCAAGATCAAAATCAGATTTCTTTCATGCACGTGCATGTTAAAATTGAGAGTGCAGCAATATCTGGAGAACTCAGGGTTTCCTGTTGCTGCCCAAGAAGTATTTCAAAAGCCAAGGCTGCTTTCACTCTATGAGAACTTTAACTTGTTTTTGAACTATCTAACTTAACATCTCCCAAAACACATTTTCATGGTTCTGTTAACAAGCACCCCTCATTCCTATATAGCTTTACTTACATGTAATCTGCCTCGAAGTTCTCGGTCATTTCTCATTTTTACATAAATTCGTTCATCAAGACTGAGTCTGATGAGATCCAAGGGCTCTTCTACAGTATTTGTGGTTTGTTGCTATAAGAGAAAAGTGTTTGTGTTTTTTTTAATACAGTTGATAAAACGTTGGATACAATTTATTCCAAGGAAAAACTCCACTGAGATTAGTATTAGATATTTGCTCCGTATTGTTTATTGTTCAATTATTCAACCTTACTGAAATGTCTAAACTCAAGTACAAGAGCAGAGAGAATTAAAAGTTACCTGTTTGCACCTCCTCAAAATGACTGACAAATGAATTGCAAATCCCTCCTAGGCTATTCAGGCTATACAGTAGTTGCTGCAGAGTTAGGAGAATTTAAGGCTATCTGTGAGATATCAGGAAACAGTCAACTAGTTATGATACCCTTTCTAATATCCCGGGCTCACCAGTTTAAACTGTTCCAATAACAAAGAATCAATAACAGATTGTTCGTAGTCACTTTTGTGGGACTAGGTAGCAAGAATAATGTGCATAATGTCCTCACTTGGTGTCTTGACATCTGATAATAAAGTTTTGTTTTGTGGGTGTGTTTTTTATTTTAAAAAAAAACCATAATCCAAAGATAGCAGCAAAGTTTAACTATGCATGACAGTGCCAGTGAAAACAGCATGAAGAAGGGGAAATGAAGGAAGAATAAAGCAGAGACCCTTTAGACCACAACTTTGTAGCTACCAGGAGAGAACCACAAAAACAAGTAATATTTTGGGGACTTCTTGTTGTTTCTCACTTTTGTTCAACTATGTGGTAAGGGGGCGGGCACAGCAGTAGAGAGAAATAATAATAATAATAATAATAATAATAATAATAATTATTATTTATACCCCGCCCCCTCCTGGGTTTCCCAGGAGGGACAGGAGGGCAAAGGTCAACTTTACCGTTATTACGCTCTCAGAAATAAGCGAAATAACAAAAAAGAGAAGATGAAACGCACAGTCCGGACGTCGCCCTCGCTACTGGGAGCAGAAACCTGCGTCCAACTAGCGACCCACCTCGGCAGGCTAAGCCAGGCCAGAGACCCACCACCTCAGAGCACAACGGCGACACCTCACGGGGTCCCGCCGACCCCTCAAAGGCCACCCTCCCCCGGCAGCAGCATCACCCACCTGGTCCACCTCGTCCGCCATTTTTTCAAAGCCAACTCCAGCCTCTTCTCGCGAGATTTTATGCCCCGCCCGCAGCAATTGACGCAGGCGCGCGCTCACGCACAAGCGACAAGTATAGACTTACTGTAGACATACATGCGGCACTTCAGATTCCGGGTCAACTCAGCACCATTTTATTTATTTTTTTGCTCCCCCCCCCCATGCCTGCCTCAGAATCAAGCGCGAACAATGCAGTGTAAGGATTTCAGCTTAGCTGTGGTCGGACGGCGAGCGAGCCCCCACCCTCTATTCAAAAGATGGCAGGCAAATAGAGGTGTGTATATATTATATAAAAAATGGCAGGCAAATACAGGTGTGTGTGTGTGTGTGTGTGTGTATACACACATACATACATACATACACACGCCTGTATTTGCCTGCCATCTTTTATATATATATAAACGCTACTATCAAGACGTTAATAATCTCATACATTTTGTATTTTCCTATCTCTACCAGAGCCTTATGTTCCCCACCCCCTCAGACGACGACAGCTGCGCGTGCACACTTCTGCCGCAAAGCTCGGAGAAACCCTGCGATTGGCCGCATCTGGAGCGCGTGCTTCCTGATTGCGACGCGGTGGTTATTTGCTTCGCCTTCTTCACATGGAGCTGATTTAGTCATGTGCGCTCAGGTGCGAGGGAGCCGTCGCTGATCAGCAGCAGCAGCAAGCAGAATAGGTGTATCATCTCGCTCAAACACTCAAGGCGAAAGGAAAAGCTGCAGCTCAGTGCACAGCTTTGCATGCAAAAGGTGCCAGGGAGAGCATGTTAGACAAATTCACGGAAGAGGATAGGGCTACGCTGGCCACCGCAGTTGGAGGCAGCAATGCTTCCAAATACCAGTTTCTGGGAACCATGGGAGGGGAGAGTGCGCTTCATGTTGTTGTTGTTGTTGTTATTTATTAAATTTGTATACCCATTATCCAAAGATCTGTGGTTCACAGCACAAAAAAACGTAAAAACAAAAATGCCTAACGAGAACAAGAACAAACCAAACAAAAAACCTCCCCTACCCACAAACATATATAAAAGGTAGTAACAGAATGTTGTGCTCAGGTCCTACTTGGGAGTTTTCCACCGTGGTTGGCCACTGGCCTGATCCAGGAGGGCTGCTGTTAGGTTCTATAGCTGAGAAACCCTGGAGAGCTCTGGCTGCCAGTCAGAGCTAGCTGGACTGGCAATCTGACTCAGTAATACAGGCAGCGTCCTGTGTGTATAGCTGTCTTGGTGCTTTGCTGCTTTGGTTTTGCTTGAATAAACTGAATGTGTGATCTGGCTTCAGTGAACAGCTCTGAGTTTGAAGCTAGGTGATGTGGTGTTATCAGTGCTTTTCCCCCTAGAAAAATAGGTGCTGGTATTCACTGTGAAGTTGTTACATACTTTTTAACAACAAAAAAGAGGTGCCGGTACTGCATACCCTTGAGCACCCCCTGAAAAGAAGCACTGGGTGTTATAAATATGACAGCCCATTCACATAAACAAGTCATCCTTGCATTCTAGTGATTAATATATAAGTTTGTTGTAGGCCCTGAACGTATTTATGGCAGATACCATCTTCCAGGAAGAACACAAGCATGTCACAGGAGTGTAGGAAACTGCTTTATATTGCACCAACTAAGATCATTATCTAGCTTGGCATTGCCAACATACACCAGCAATGGCTGTCCAGCAGTTTTTTTCAGTCCTACCTGGGATCTTCTACATCCAAAGCAGTTGCTCTGCTGCTCATCACATGCCTGCATGTTGCCTACCACCCTGTGTGGCTTGAAAGCTTGTAAGTACAGTGGTACTTCAGGTTACATACGCTTCAGGTTACATACGCTTCAGGTTACAGACTCCGCTAACCCAGAAATAGTGGTTCAGGTTAAGAACTTTGCTTCAGGATGAGAACAGAAATCGGGCTCCGGCAGCGCAGCAGCTACAGGAGGCCCCATTAGCTAAAGTGGTGCTTCAGGTTAAGAACAGTTTCAGGTTAACGAATTAAGTACTTAACCTGAGGTACCACTGTACTGGAGGAAACAAAGCTAGTGATGTTGGCATCACAGAATTAGCTTCATCTTTGTAAGCTCGCCTTACAATTCAATCTCCAGCTTCTTTACTCAGAAATAAGTCTAATGGAACTCAGTGCAGCTTGCTCTCTAGAAAGTGAATTTAGGATTGGGTGGCTACAATCCTACACACACATACTTTCTGAGTAGACATGTATAGGATTGTGTTTTATTTCACAAACTAAAAGGGAGTAAGCTGATGCCAAATTTCTTCTCCCAAGCCTGAAATCCATAACGCTGCAATCCTAAGACCACTTACTTGGCAGTAAACCCCGTCATTCAAACTCAGTGGGACTTATGGTACTTCTGTATAAAATGTATAGACTTGCCAGAGGAGTATCTGTGTTTCAGAAAAAAACAAGAGCCTTGTGCCAGGCATAGTACATATGCAGTCCTAATCCCTCTTAAGGAGAGTAAGTCCTATTGAATTTAGTAGGGCTTTCTCCTGAGTAGACATGGTTAGCATTGTGCTGCTGGACTCCTTGGTGACACAAGACTCCCTGATGTATAGCATTGCACTGCAAGTTGGGAGAAGTTCCCATAAAATACAAAATAGAACACACATAAAAGAAGGTTGATTTTGGCCATGTACCTTACTATGGATTTGGAGCGTGAGCACTTTCGGCCTGATTTGGGGAAAGGCCACTAAAATTGTATCAGGTTTTATACTGGGTGCGTGTGTGCAGGGGGACGGATTTCTCCATAAAGCGGCACCAGTTTCAAACCATGTTCCTATTTCTGAGAGGTGGCGGGCTGCCCTGTGATCTCAAAGCGCCCGAGAGTCCCATTGCCAAAATCCGTATACTGCAATGCTTATCAGTTGCCCTGTGGCTTGTGAGGAGGGCCAAGCTGTTGAATCCTGAACGGCATCTTCATTTTTTTCCCAAAGGCTGCAAGCTGCACGCCGCTCAGACCCGGCACGGAAGGGACGTCAAGAAGGAGGAGCAACGCAAGCTGCCAGCCCAACAAGGCGCGGGGCCGCTTGCGAGAGAAAGGGAGAACAACAGATGCAACAACCCTGCTCCCCGTGTTGTTTTTAAGCCGCCTTCTTCCGCAGATCGTCTTTTTCCCCCCTCCCTCCTGCCCTCCCTGCTGTTTTGGCTTTTCTCCTTTGTGTCTCCATCCGCGCCTGCCGGTGGCTTCTCGCGCGCGCTTCTCCCGCTTCTCCTCCAGGCCGATTTCCCGTGGATCAGGATGGCCAAGAAGCGCAAGGGGGTCGTGCAGCTGCCGGGGGTGGGCAAGAAGCTCAAGGGAGAAGTTGCAGCCTCCTCCGCCTCCTCCTCCGGTCCTAAAACGCAGCAGCAGCAGCAGCAAGAGGGTGAGTGGGGGGCGGAGGGATGCAGAATAACCTTAACCGACAGCCTGCTCCTTGACAGCCTTTGCAGCTCAAGCCTAACCGTGGCTACTCAGAAGTAAGTCCCATTGAAGTCGACGGGGCTCACTCCCAGGAGTTTGGATTGCAGCTTTAGAACCATAGTTGGAAGGGACCACGTGAGTCTAGTTCTTGTGCAACCCCCTGCCAGGCAGGAATCCTTGCCAAAGGTGGGTTTCGAACCCACGACCATGAGATTAAGAGTCTCATGCATCGACTGAGCTTTCGTGAAGCTACCCACGGTTCACTGGGCTCGCTCTCCCTTTGCGCCACGCCCACTCCTGGGTTATGTAAAAATTAACAGTTTTGCACATGCTCTGGCTAGAATTCCATTGTGAATGGCCAAAGTTCGGCAGCCTGCTTGTGAATCAAACTTCTCATGTTCCTGATACTACCTTATACAACTATGTCACGTGGTTACCAAAAGAGGTTTCCTCCTAGTTGTCTCGTTTAAACACACACACACACACACACACACACACACACGAAGAGGTTACCCTTGTTACCTAAACATGAACATTCTCCTTAGGAACAGCAAAAGTTCCTGATATATGATCAAGGTGAGGGGGATGTATTTTGCATGTTGCATTGCATTATTTGGCATAATGTTGCGATTTTAAATTTGCTAAGCCTGCTTGCTGATCAGAAGGTCGGCGGTTTGAATCCCCACGACGGGGTGAGCTCCCGTTGCTTGGTCCCTGCTCCTGCCAACCTAGCAGTTCGAAAGCATGTCAAAGTGCAAGTAGATAAATAGGTACCGCTCCGGCGGGAAGGTAAATGGCGTTTCCGTGCACAGCTCTGGTTCGCCAAAAGTGACTTAGTCATGCTGGCCACATGACCCGGTAGCTGTACGCCGGCTCCCTCGGCCAATAAAGCGAGATGAGCGCCGCAACCCCAGAGCCGTCTGCGACTGGACCTAACGGTCAGGGGTCCCTTTACCTTTACCTAACCAAGTAGTGCACGAGCATTAGAAAGGTGGGATAGAAACTTTTATATAAAGTAAAATAATTCAGTGAAGTGTTTTGCCACAGTCTTAAGATTCTGCTTCTGTAAATAAAGCTTGGTGATATCCAGCACTGCCTATCCGTTTGCAGAACGGCTTTTAACCCAAGGAGTTAACCCAGATTTTAACCCAGATAACCCAAGGAGGTATCTGTTAACATAAGGGAAGGGGAGGCAATTCCTCATTTATACTGTAGCCCCCTGTGACACCCCCGTCTGTTCCAGATGTTTGGAGAACCCCCCCATATAGTGTGGGAAGCGGCACAAAGACCTACAGCTGAAAATCACCACTCCCTTGGTTTAGTGGACTCCTCTGCTAGATTAAAAATCATTCTGCAAATGGATAGGCAGCTCTGGATATCTCCCCTCCTGTCTTTTTCATAGAATTGCAGAGTTAGAAGGGACCCCAAGGATCATTTAGTCCAACCCCCTGCAACGCAGGAATACGCAGATGTCCCATGTTGTTGTATAACAAAGTCGAAATAGCAGCAGCAAAATAATAACAACAGGTTTAAACTTTGGGTTCATGGTGCATCGTAGTAGTGTTGATTCAAGATCTAATGGGAGGAAGAAATTATAAAGGTTAATGGAAAAGACTATTGGAACCAGTTTGGGTGTTTAATTCGGATTAAGCTTGCATTCCCATCCCCCACCCTAACAGTTTTTGACCGTCGTCACATTTTCTTTCCATACAGATGATTTTGAAGAGGAAAAACCCAGTCAGAAGAAAAGGTTGCCCAAAACAGCTTCTGGAAAAAAGAAGGAAAAGGAACAGGAGAGGGATATCTTTCAGCCACCCTGCAGAAATTCGAATCAGAAAGGACCAAAGCCTAAAGTGAAGGAGGAAAAGAATAAAGTGGCAGAAAGTAAAGGGTCCTGTAAAAAAAGGGTAAAATGCAGGTAACTCAATGTTTAGGGTTTTCATTGAGAGCTGATTTATTTATTTATTTCCTGAATCCGAACATCTGCTCATGTCATCCTTAGGGCAATGATACGATTGACTTCTTTTGGGGGCTTCCTCTTAGCCTTGTCCTCTGAACCCATAGAAAACCTGATGCCGATGCGTGGGTAAAATGTGTCTTTGTTTGGGTGTGCACGTATTTATTTATATGTAAAATTAAACTACTAGAGTTACATCCAAACCACCACAATGTGAATTAATCCTCTCTCAGTCCTGGCATTCCACCTTAACCGACTTGTGGATGAGATGCTAAAGAGTAGATGCATCTGTTCTCTTTCCTACCTTGGAAGTCGAACCGAATCCGTTCCGGAAATCCATTCGAATTCCAAAATGTTCAGAAACCCAAGCGTGGCTTCTGATTGGCTGCATGAAGTTCCTGCAGCCAATTGGAAGCCATGGAAGCCCCGTCTGGCGTTTGAGTTCCAAAGAACGTTTGCAAACCGGAACAGTCGCTTCTAGATTTGGGGCGTTCGAGAGCTAAAACGTCAGATTACCAAAGCTTTCAACAACCAAGGTATGACTGTATTATTCATATTGACGAAGACACACAGAGCTTTGGGATGCTATATTACTGTGGACGGTTTTGTATCTTTGAATCCGTTGTGTAAATTTCAGTGGGAAGGTGAACAGGTGCAGGGATCTTCCTGCAAGGTGAGGTTGGCTCACCTGTGTGGCCTCCTTTGGACTCCAGCTCCCAACAAAGTAAGGCTGGTGCCAAGAGTTGATGGGAGTTGTGTGGTCCTCCTGATACTGCTCATCAAGTGTTAACCACTTCTGCTGTGAAAGAGGCCTTGTAAAGAGTCAAGGCTTAAACTTTTGTCTTGTACTGGGGTGGGGGTGAGGAATCTTGCCTTGTTTTCCCCATTAAATTTGAGTGAATCTACACGAGCATGTGTGTGAGAGAGGAAGAGAAATACAGTTTTCTGGGGCCACATTCTCTAGAAAGTCGGTTTCAGGTGCTCGCTTAACTGTGCAGGTTGTTTTTCCTTAAACTAGCTAACATTCGGAAGAAATTCCTGGAGGTACAAGCTGTCTGACTGGGTTTTCTTCACTGGAAGGGCTCGGATGAATAACCTTTGAGGTCCCCTTCAACTCTGTGGTTGTTTCTTTCCCCACATCCTAGGGGTCTGCAGAGCACTCCTCTAAAGAAGGAAACAAACACAAAAAAAGAATCTCCTGTCACAAAGAGAAAGAGAGATGAAGAAGAAGATAGTGACGATGATGATGAAGATGATGAAAGTGAGGATGAGTGGGAAGATGTGGAAGGTAATACATTTTTAAAAAATTGCTGTGTACCGTATTTTTCGCACCATAGGACGCACTTTTTCCCTCCTAAAAAGCAAGGGAAAATGTGTGTGCGTCCTATGGAGCGAATGCAGGCTTTCGCTGAAGCCTGGAGACTGAGAGGGGTCGGTGCGCACCGACCCCTCTCACTCTCCAGGCTTCAGGAAGCTATCCGCTAACCGTGGGAGACCCAGCTCTCCCACGGCTAGCGGAGCGCTGCATTAATCCCGAAGCTTGGGGCGTGCGGAGCTCAGCGCGCCCCAAGCTTCTGGGTGCCAGCAAGGTCTCGCTAGCCCTGGGAGAGCCCCGCGGCGTCGCGGGGCTCTCCCAGGGCTAGCGAAGCGCCGCGCTAATCCCGAAGCTTGGGGCGTGCGGAGCTCAGCGCACCCCAAGCTTCTGGGCGCCAGCAAGGGCTAGCGGAGACCTTGCCGGCGCCCAGAAGCTTGGGGCGCGCTGAGCTCCGCACGCCCCAAGCTTCGGGATTAGCGCTCCGCTAGCCGTGTCTAGGCTGCGGATAGCAGCCTGCTTCCCGGAGCATCGGGCGCCCTGAAAGCAGAGCTCCAGGCGCTTCGGGAACACATCCACAGCGTGGGGAGCCTTGCAGGAATTCCCCACAGGGCTCCCCACGCTGCGGATAAGCCTGCTGCCTGGCGGGTGGGACGCCCTGAAGCAGAGCGCCCCTCGCGCCAGGCAGACATCCGCAGAGTGGGGAGCCTTGCAGGAGTTCCCTGCAGGGCTCCCCACGCTGCGGATAGTAGCCTGCCGCCCGGCGCGAGGGGCGCCCTGAAGCAGAGCGCCCCTCTCGCCGGGCAGACATCCGCAGCGTGGGGAGCCTTGCAGGAGTTCCCCACAGGGCTCCCCACGCTGCGGATAGCAGCCTGCCGCCCGGCGGGTGGGGCGCCCTGAAGCAGAGCGCCCCGCGCGCCAGGCAGACATCAGCCAGCCCCACAAGCTCGGGGGACAGCAGGGAGGCGCAGCGCCACTATCCCGCTGTTCCTCGACCTGGTTCGGTTTCCCTGACCTGCTTTTGGGGGGGGAAATAAAGGGGGGAAATTTTCCTTTATTTCCCCCCCAAAAAACTAGGTGCGTCCTATGGTCCGGTGCGTCCAATCGTGCGAAAAATACGGTAAATCTTGGTTCCCTTGGTTATTTTGGTTTATCATTATTTGGGCACATTATTGTCATGCCAAAGTCACCCAAGTTTTATCAAAGCTGAATTTTGCTCCCTTGTCAAAGTATCCTCCCAGACTTCCCTACCCTGCATGTTGCTTAAGCTCCAGTGTTGAGAAGTTTCAGAAGCAGCCTGAGTTAGAATTTAACTGCTCGTCATCTTACTGGACATTATTGGAGACACACTAATTAGACGGGGATGTTTGCTTCCAGAACTTCATCAACCTGAGATAGAGATACTCAAAGAACTTCCTGCCCCGGCGTTGCCCAACAAAACAGTTGAGATAGAAATTGAGACACCCGAGCAGGCGAAGAAAAGAGAGAGAAGGTAAGTTGAGGCCTGTGAGTTTGGTATTAGCAGGCCTTTGTGGCTGATTCGCCCTTTGGAGTTCTTGCACCACTGGAATGAAAAAAGGCTGCCTGGTTGAAGACCTTCTTCTACTGAGGGCCTTGCTTAAGACATTTCCATCTCCAGAACTTGGGTGGGTGGCAGGGCCTTTTCCACTGTGGCACCGGGACTTTAGGAGTGAATTCAGCAAAGTCATTGTGGGAGCCGAATGACTTCAGCACATGCAACACAGCTTCCACTCCCTCTTCTCCTCTTGCTGCCCCTGACTTCATCCTCAGATCTATTCTGATGGGTTGGGGGAAAGTCCAGAGCAGATTTTGGGGGATAGGGGTTGCAGGAGATGTTATGTTGTGCAAGCAGAAATTGTTCCAGCCCCTAAGCTATCTTCATCAGGTGCCTTTTGGATATGAAGTAAAAAACATTTCTGCTTGCTTAAGCTTTTGGTAGCTCTTGGTTGGCATTTCGTTTGTGGTTTGTGTGTGTGTGTTGGGCAGCTGGATCCACTTCTTTTTACAGTGCTTACAAGAAAACAAGAATTAAAAAGGCTGTTCTGTTATATTGGTTTGGCAGCCTAAATTGGTTAGAAAGGCAGAATATAAATACAGGAAATAAATGCAGACAACCAGTAGCACACACAAACCCAGTTATGCCTGAGCAGGAAATAGCATAGCATGCGGGAGACATGAAGCTTCACCTGACAGCCCCTGCCCACTCCGTTCCCTGGCCTTCCCTTTATCAGGGTCCCCAATTGCATGGAGAGTTCTACTCGCACTCAGGCAAATGCAAGTAAAATCCCCCTTTGAACCTTCCCCACTCAGCAGAAGGTCAGGAACAGAGAAGGTAGGAGCGACAGGGCTAGCAGGCAGGGCCCCATTTCTCATCCATGAGGGGAAATTTCCTGTTCAGGTATAATCCCTCAACAGAGCTATAGTGTATGTAGCCTCATGCACACAGTAGCATATGAATGTGCTGCTTTGTTTTCTGGCTTCAGGTTCCTGCTCAGAAGCTGGAAAGTTAGGCCTTGAGAACATCACTGCATGGCACTCACCCTTTGTTTTGGTTTGGTCATCTTGCAGAGAGAAAAGGCAGGTTGAGTTTGAGACGTATCTGCGGAGAATGATGAAGCGCTTCAACAAGGGAGTTCATGAAGACACACACAAGGTAATACGCCTGAATAGTAATGTGTTGGAAGAAGGCAGACACTGCAGGGCTCAAGAGTTCTCCTTCCATTCTGTCACCTTGTTCTGGCACTTGGCAGAAGAGTTTATTGGGAATCCTGGCACGTTAGTATTTCCAAATAGTAATTCAGCGTGTTGTTACAAGGACAAGAGCAATATTGACACCCCAAGTCATTCTAGGGAAGCAGGGACGTAGTTGGTTTAGAACACAGCAAATAGGCTTGTGCATCACGATAAACCATAGCTCATGGTTTACCATGAACATACAGATGGCTTCTGCTTTGCAACTTCTTCAGAAGCAACAAATGGCAGCCCCTGGCTTAATGTTACATCTGAACCAGGAATCGTGGATAGTTTTACTCCAAACAACCCTCAATGCAAAGTCAAACCAAGACCCCAGTTCGGATATAACACTAAACCGGGATCAGGGTTTGTTACTGTAGAGAAGCAAAGTCAGAGTGATCTCCGCAATCACCGTACACTATTAACTATGGTTTACTACGACATATGAATACAGCTAATGTTGCTCAAAGAACCAATTTCCCCTCTACATACAATGGTTGAAATCTTGGTACAGCTGTCGTCTGACTGGGCTTAAACTTGCCTATTTATGTTTGTTTAAAAACGGTTCTGTGCAGATTTTCCTTCACCCAAAGTAGCATGGAAACAACAGATACATATTTAAAAACCACAACCGAAATGCAAATGAGCGCATTTGAACCATAAGCTGAACAGTTAAAAAAAAACCTATACCAGGTGCAGTCACATAAAAAAGAAAAGAAACCACAGGCTGCTGATAAATTTATCAAGCAGACACCAGATGAGGCAGATGGGGTTTGTAAATCTTATAAAAGGCAGAGACGGAAGAACTTCTGGCCTCAGCCATGAGGTTGTTCCATGTCTGGGGCATTAGTCCAACTGGTGCCTCAGGACTCACTACCAGGTTGCAAGTGGATTGAAACAGCAGCACTACCACCAGACAAACAGGTGGAAAAAATGAAGAAATGGGTCCCTGGATGGATGTTTGGATTAAAGGTGTGTTCCGGATCTGAAAAGGACAACTGGTCACAGAAAAGTCCCACAGCCCGTTTTCTTCCCTCGAAAAGTGAAGTTAACCCTGGCAATGCTCAAATGGGAGCTTAACAAACAAAAACAACTTATTTTAAATATGTAAGCCCTACTAGTAACTGACGTTCTCTAGGCCAGCTGACATTATATTCAAAATACAGTAAAAGAGATGACTAGGATGTTTCCCTCACTGGGCAAGGCTTCCTCACCTAGGCAGCTGATGCTTCTGGAAGCTTCCGTCTCCTGGCAGAAGGTGCCAGAGACATTTGGGTTGGGATGGAGGGTCTGCATTCTTTATAAGTCTCTCTCTCCACTTCCACTCTTCAAATGTTCCAAACTGGCAGGCCACTCCTGAATTTCTTGGCCGTAGCAGATCTCGGAGGAAACAGCCTGTCCCCCCACATTCAGAGTTGCTCACAGAGAGGCACTTCCTCACACAGGCTGCTGCCGATAACCTTTCCTGGCTCCCTATTGGCAGACTTGTGTGTATTGGGTCAGTGCTAGGCCTATCTTTTGAGGCATGGAAACAAAACCAGGGAGCCTTATGTAGCATGACTATCCGTTGCCACTTCTCTCTCCTGGGAGCTGCTTCCTTCTCCAAACAGGTCCACCTACTGTGCCTGCTAGCCAATGGCTTCCATAGAAACAGGATCTGCTCTCAGCCGGACCTCCAGGCGATCGGCCTCTCTATCATCCCCGCTCATTTTACTAAAGTGCCTGCGGGCCGTGTAGACCGCCTATTCCTGTCAAATCTTGTGAAGTGGTAAGGGGCTTCTCTCTCTTAATCCAGGTTTGTTTTGTTTTGTTTTGATGGTGTTGTGCTTTTACATGTGATATAGAGTGGGGAGGGTCCCTGAAGGACATCCATTCCAACCCCTTGTGCTCATGTCAGCTGCAGTTACAGCAGTCCTGACACATGGTTGTCCACCTCTGTGTAAATCACCCAAGTCACCACCACCCAAGTCTCTTACCATTAGTAATAATAATAATAATTTATACTTCACTCATCTGGCTGGGTTTCCCCAGCCACTCTGGGTGGCTCCCAACAGAATATTAAAAACACAATAAAACATTGAACATTAAAAATTTCCCTAAACAGGGCTGCCCTCAGATGTCTTCTAAAAGTCAGAAAGTAGTTTATTTCCTTGACATCTGATGGGAGGGCATTCCACAGGACAGGCGCCACTGCTGAAAAGGCCCTCTGCCTGGTTCCCTGTAATCTCACTTCTTGCAGGGAGGGAACCACCAGAAGACCCTCGGCGCTGGACCTCAGTGTCCAGGCTGAATGATGGGGGTGGAGACATTCCTTTGGGTATACTGGGCCGAGACCGTTTAGGGCTTTAAAGGTCAGCACCAACACTTTGCATTGTACTCAGAAACATACTGGGATCCAATATAGGTCTTTGAGGACCGGTGTTATATGGTATCGGCAGCCACTCCCAGTCACCAGTCTAGCTGCCGCATTCTGGGTTAATTGTAGTTTCCAGGTCACCTTCAAAGGTAGCCCCACGTAGAGCGCATTGCAGTAGTCCAAGCGGGAGATAGCCAGAGCATGCACCACTCTGGCGAGACAGTCTGCTGGCAGATAGGGTCTCAGCCAGCGTACCAGATAGAGCTGGTAGACAGCTGCCCTGGACACAGAATTGACCTGTGCCTCCATGGACAGCTGTGAATCCAGAATGACTCCCAGGTTGCGCACTTGGTCCTTCAGGAGCACAGTTATCCCATTCAGGACCAGGGAGTCCCTACAATGTCCATCCATTGGTCCTGATCCTGCCTTCTGCTTCACTTTCCGGGTGTGACAGCCCTTCAGAGACTTGAAGGTTGTTTGTGGGGGTGAGCTATTAAGGCGTTATTAGCCAGGCAAGTAGAAAAAATATATTGTTTCCTTCTTTAAGGTTTGTTGCGACATTCACTGTCAATGGGGAGCTCTCTGATAACGAAGAAAGTTGGCAGTCCACCCTAGAGAGGCGTTTTGCTGTGTATGCTGCACGAGATGAGGAAGAATTGGTTCATGTAAGTGACAAGGCGTTTTGGGGCATGTCAGACTGCTCTCCTAGTAACTGTGCTGGGGGAAGCATGAAGCCAATCAGTGGCCCCTTGGAAAAGGGATGCAGCTTTGTAGTAGCTTTCTTGCATGCAGATGCTCCAAAGTTCAGTCTCCAGGTAGGGTTGGGAGAGGAATTTGTGAATGCATATATCCCCCCCCCCATGAAGTAGAGGGGAGTCCCTCCCCTTAGTGGAATGGGTACCTCCACGTTTGACGAGCTTCCATCACCCTCAAGATACACTCTTATTTATTCACCCAGGCTTGTGATGGATCTGTGTGCAGATCTGTGGATTTTTACGTTTTAACGCTAACCAATTATGTAAATTTCACGATGCTTTGATATTACAGGATGATTTGCTGCATTTTTTTCAGTGTTGTAATTTATATGGGCATTGTTAAATTTTGCCGTTGGGTTTTTTGGAAACTGCTTTTTGATCGATACACAAATACTCGAGTAAAAACAAGAAATGCGCAACCTGTTACTTCCTCCGTCATTCGTTGGCATACGTGGAGAGCCCTCTGCTTTCCTAGTTAGCTTACCACTCAGGGTACATTGGTAGAGAAGCTACATCGGCCCCCAATGGGCATAGGGGGCTTCGGCAACCCTCACAGTACATGGAGAGGAGGTCAAAGTCTCCAGTATGCCAATCTGCTGTGGGGGAAGGCTGTTCTGGCTCACTTTTAGACTAGAAATTTGTTACAAAGTCCTGTGGGTTAAAATCCTCTGGTTAAAAACAAAGTGGGGTGGAGGGTGGGTGGGTGAGAGGGAAAACCTCCATCCCCATAACTCCAAATCCAAACTAACAAACAATAATATTTTTCATTTTTTCAAATAGATATTTTTACTCATTCTGCGAGCGTTGCAGCTACTGTGCCGCCTTGTGTTGTCTCTGCAGCCCATTCCTCTGAAAGTGTCGGCGGGAAAGGTTGGTGTGTCTCCAGGAGGGCTCTCAGCGAGACAAACATGCATAGGATGACTCTGTAAAGCAGCAGTTCTCAAATAAATGGGTTAACCCAGGCTTCCTCAACCTCGGCCATCCAGATGATTTGAGACTACAATTCCCATCATCCCTGACCACTGGTCCGGCTAGCTAGGTTATCATGGGAGTTGTAGGCCAAAAACAGCTGGAGGGCCGAGGTTGAGGAAGCCTGGGTTAACCCAAGCATTCCAGGGAGCTGAAATACTTGCACAATATGACTTTTTCTTATGCTAATTAGAGTAACTGTTTAATGGACAAGAGGTGCAAACATCAGAGTGTTCACTTTTAAGATCACTTGTTTATCTCCCTCACAGCATGTTGGAAGTACAGTGGTACCTTGGTTCTCAAACGCCTTGGCACTCAAACAACTTGGAACCCAAACACTGCAAACCCAGAAGTAAGTGTTCCGGTTTGCGAACTTTTTTCGGAAGCCAAACATGCTCTGTTTTGAGTGCCACATTTCCGTTTTGAGTGTTACGCTGAGGTCTGTCTGTTTTTGCTATTTATTTTGCGTTTTTGTTTTTGTGACTCTTTTTGTTTTGTTTTTGTGACTATGTGGAACCCAGTTCAGCTACTGTTTGATTGATTCTGTGACTGCAGTACATTGTTTATTGCTTTCATTTTATGAATCAATGGTCTCGTTAGATAGTAAAATTCATGTTAAATTGCTGTTTTAGGGGTTGTTTTTAAAAGTCTGGAACGGATTAATCCGTTTTGCATTACTTTCAATGCGAAAGCGCGCCTTGGTTTTGGAACGCTTTGGTTCTGGAAAGGACTTCCGGAATGGATTAAGTTTGAGAAGCAAGGTACCACTGTAGTACAAAAACACATTCTGGAAATGCAGGTCTAGTTTATGTGTTTGCTCTGTGTATGTTCCTCAGACAGAATAGAGATTATGATGTCATGAGCTTGCCCACAAGAGAGCCAATGTGGTGTAGTGGTTAGAGGGTCTGACTAGGACTTAGGGAGACTTGGGTTTGAATCCCCACTCAGCCATGAAGCTCAACCAGCCCTCAGCTTAACCTACCTCAGACTGTTGCTCTGTGGATAAAAGGTGGGAGAAGGCCCAGGCATGCTACCTTGAGTTCACTTCAGGAAAGGTAGGAAATGAGCATAGTGAATAAGTAAGAGGCCTGTTGAACAGAGGAGGTGCCTCTGTACACACCTATATTTGCTCAGAACTGTCTCAAGTAAGGTACATGGCAAAATCTACAGCTTAGTATCTCCATAGTAGGGCTGTGGGCTCATCTCTTCCATAGGGCAAATTCTACAGGTCTGCTAATTCAGAGCAAAGCAGCTCTCTTTTACCAACTAACATATTGAGACCAAAACTATTGGATCACTGCAGAGTGTTTGTCTCACCTGCCTTGTCTTTTGATGGCCCATCGTCCTCTTCTTTCATTTCCCCCCCTAGGGAAAGACCAGCTCCTCCAAGAAGCGCTCTCTCAGTGCAGTTTCCGAGGAATCAGGTGGCTCTGCCAAAAAGCCTAAACGTGCCTCGAAAAAATGTGCAGGGCCTGGTAAAGTCAAGCTAGAGGCAGGCCAAGAGAAGGTCCTGTCAGGGAGCCAGGAAGCTGACAGGAAATCATCCCCAACAGGAGCCAAAAGGACAGTAAATAAACCTACTGCACTCAGGAGTGCTGAGGAAGAAAAGGAACCTGGTGTGAGCAACCTGAGGGAAAGGGGAGGGATGGGGAGGACCAAAAACGACCGCCTACGAAAAGTGGCCTCAAAAGTGTCATATAAAGAGGAGAGTGGAAGCGACAATGGCAGGGATTCTGAATTCCATGCTTCAGAGGAAGACGAGGATGAAAGTAGCATCTCTGATGAGGACTTCGAAACTCCCAAGAGGAAACAGAGGTCATCACTAGGGACCCCGAAAGCAAAAGCAGCTCTTAACAACAGGCGGAAGTCTGGTCCTGCGGTGCTGAATGTACCCAAGAACTCTCGGACAGTTGAGAGTTCACTGGGGGAAGCGGCTACCCCAGGCTCTTCAAACCTCTCCAAGAAAAGGAACAAAATAATTTCTAGCGATGAGGATGAAGGAGGCGATGTGGGACCAGGTAAACAGAGAGGCACTGACCAGTGGCTGGAGGTTTTTCTCGAACGGGAGGACAAGTGGGTCAGCGTGGACTGCGTCCACGGCACCGTTGGGCAGCCTCTGCTGTGCTTCAGACACGCCACCAAGCCTGTGTGCTACATCATTGGCATTGATAACGACGGGTGCGTCAAGGACGTGACACAAAGATACGACCCGGCGTGGATGACGTCTACGAGGAAGTGCCGCGTGGATGCCGAGTGGTGGGAGGACACCTTGGAACCATACAGAAGCCCTTTTGTGGAGCGAGAGAAAAAGGAAGAAAGGGAGGTAACGGAAGGGAGCTGGCGGGTTTCCTCCTCCATGAACAAAACTATGTCCTGGTTGACTAAGAGGTCCTCCACCCTCTCTTGCTACTTCTGATACCTGGTCTGTGTAAACATGGTGGGTGTAGAAATACATGGGAAGATGAGTCTATGAGTCAAGTGCCTTTGGGTTTCATTAAATGGCACAAGCTTGGCCTTCGGGAGGAGGGAGGAGGAAACGGAGGATACAGGTGTGGCAGGGTTATCAAGCTAGTACCAACTTAATTCAGCAATGTGAGGGTGCGGCAAGGATTTTAGGCCTAGGCTGGTCATAGCAATCTAGAGCCATGGCAGGGTATGTGATGATTTCAGCTGTCTTAATGAGCAGACAGTCGTTTAGAGTGAGATTCTTCTAACAAAGCCCCTTCCGCATGTGCTTGCAGCAGGGCTTCTGGAATTCTCTGCTTGCTTGAAGAGCGCCTGAGAGCTGGCTCTCACAAACAAAGGATATCAGCAGAGCACAGCTGGGTCAGACCAAAAGCCAAAAGTGTGTAAGACCAAAAGTGTATAAGAACAGTTTCACGTCCAATATGGATAACAGCATTCTGTTCACCCAGTGATGAACCGATGGTGCCTTTGGAAAGCCTATAGGTGCCACAGCCCTCTCCGACTCATGTTCTCCAGTAACTGATACTGCCTCTGATACGAGAGGTGTACGCAGCTGTCATGCCTAGTAGTCATTTAGTCAGCTTGTCCTCCATGAATTTGTTTTTTAAAACCTGTACAAGTTGGTGGCCACTGTGACAACTATCTCATGGATCTTCTGCTTATCCCTAGTGCGTGTGTTGCGTATTCATTCATCAGTCGATGACTCCCAGCTGGGTATATGAATGGACTCTATTAATAAAAGTATTCCATCTGGAGGACGTGGTTTGGTTGATACAGAAGTTTCTTCAGTGTTGTTAGAGCAGGGATGAGTCCCTTATGACCCCTGGATCAAGTAATCCTGTGAAAGCTGGCCCTGATACTATCTTTATGTTTGTCCTCCAAATAATTGAAGAATCTGCTTGTGCAGTGTAAACTCTGAAGTCAACCACTTATGTCATGTCTCCCAGTTTCTAGTTAAACTTCAAGACCAGCCCCTGCCGACAGCCATTGGCGAATACAAGAACCACCCGCTTTATGCCTTGAAGAGGCATCTCCTTAAATACGAAGCCATCTACCCGGAGACAGCTGCTATACTAGGGTATTGCCGTGGGGAGGCTGTGTATTCCAGGTGAGAGTCATCTGCCAGGTGTGTATGGCGTGAAATATGACTTCATGTGGCTACATTGCTCTGGTCAGATATCAGATTTCACATTGCCAGTACTTTTGTTCACCTTTCTTTTTAAAAAACAAAACAAACCAGGGTCCACAGACAGACAAGGGTTAGGATTAGACCTAGCAGAAGTTGACTGGCTTGGCAGCTGCTGGCCAAGATTTGTTTCTGAGTTCTGAATTCAGGTTCCTGAGCGTCCCTGGTTTATTTTCTTTCTTTTTTAAGGAAAAAGCACATTTTCTCACCCTTGTGACTTGATGTAGTTGCACGTGTATAGGCAATTCCTGATGAACTCCAGGGGTGGGGGAATCTGTTGGTTGGAAGTTGGGGCTTTTTGTAACCCACATAGCTTGTTTTCCCTCCCATGACTCACAGAAATCAAATCATGCAAAACTGTTTGATCTGTGCAAATGTACTCAGTTTTAGTGGTTGCAGAATATGGGTTGTATTGGCAGAGAAACGCCCAATATACTTAAAAAGAAAGATGTATGTGTGTGCTCACATTGAGAATATTTGAGGGTACAGTTCATTTGGACTTTTTCAGAGACTGTATCCATACGCTGCACTCCAAAGACACCTGGCTGAAGCAAGCTCGAGTGGTCAGGATTGGTGAGGTGCCTTATAAGGTAAGATGACAGCAGATCCACTCTGAGGCTGCAGTTGGGCACCTATAGCTCAGTAGCAGAATGAGAGATGCATGCACAAGCCCTTATGAGCTGAAGAATAGAACAGGCCTGCTGGATCAAACCATAGGATGGAGAAACTGCCGCCCTCCAAAGATGGTTGGACTACAATTCCAGTTAGCCCCAATTAGCATGGCCTGTGGCCAGGGATGATGGAAGTTGTAGTCTAAACCTAAGATTCCCCATCCCTGCCCTATTAACCAGTCACAGTGGCCAGCCCATGGGAAGCCTACATACAAGACCTGGGAATCAATGGCTCTCTCTTACTTTGGTTCCCCAGGAACTTGTTTTCAGAGCCATACTGTCTCCAATCCTGGAGTTACCGTATAACCATTGTAATTATTAGCCCCATCTCATTTGTATCCAATTAAAGCTAAGGATAGGGGATTTCTTTTTTTACTCAGAGTAGATCCATTGAAATGAATGGACCTGCATTGGTTATGGTCATTAATTTTAATGGGTCTAACACTGAGTAAAAGCTAGTTGCAAACAACCCAAAGTAACCAGGTTGGGAAAGACTTGTATTTTGGGAGACCCTGGAGAGATGAATTCTGGATTGCCATTGCTATGAATCAATAGAGTGCAGCCGTTCTGCAGCCTTGCAGTTTGGTGGTGGCCTGGGATGTTGCTGCAAGGAAACAGTGAGAGAGCATTCGCGAGCGGCTTGTGTATCTTCTTTTCATGCTTCTGTGTGACATCAGAAGTGACAGCGGGTGCTTCTCCCTTCTAGTGAGATGAGTGAGCTTCAGGGGCATACACAAACCTCAGTTTGAGGGGGGATGATTAGGTTGACACTGTGAACTTTACAGGCAAGAAGTGGGAACGGATGAGAATACTGGACTCGTGTTGTGTTTGCACAGATGGTTATAGGCTACTCCAACCAAGCAAGAAAAGCACGAATGGCAGAACCGGCAAACAGAGACAAAAAGGACTTGCCGCTGTTTGGCCTCTGGCAGACGGAGGAATACCAGCCCCCTGTTGCCGTGGATGGAAGGGTAAGCTGGAGGAGAGATCACACGATCACCCTTGGAGTGGTTGGGTGGTGATTGCACAAGATGAGGCCTTTTCAGAGGTGGCCTGAGACCCTGGAGCTTCCTACCTGGGAAAATTTGATTCCCCCCTCATTGCTGATCTTATTTAGTCATCCAGATCTTTGGGAATTAAGTTCCTGGGAACCTCACCATTGTAGATATTAGATTGCAGTTTTTGAAGTTTTTGTGTTTTTAGATTTTTAATGGTGCTGTGAAATACTTTGTGATGATGGCTTTCTCTATATTGCGCACTGTTCTGGGCTTCTGGTTTGGGGCGGGGGGAAAGTTGTACAAAATGAAATGAATTTCACATTAATGAAAATGAAGAATAAAGGTAAATTGAGTGGGTACTTTGGTAAAGCTAAATCTTTCTCTCCTGGGTTGTATAATTTAACTGAAAGTTTTGCGTTTCGGCTCACGTTCTTGTAAAACATACTCACCCTTGTGATGTATCTACTGTTTCTCATTTTAATTGGTACCAGTCCTGTGCTTGGCACTTTAGCAAGAACCAATTTCTGCATAAAAGTATTAGCATAATTGTGATTTTTTTTCCCTCTCTCCCCCCCCCCTTTTCTTTGTTCCTGTTTTGTTTTCAGGTTCCCCGGAATGAATTTGGGAATGTGTATCTCTTCCAACCCAGCATGTTGCCCATAGGCTGTGTGCAGCTAAAGCTTCCCAACCTCCATAGAGTGGCGCGCAAATTGGATATTGACTGTGTCCCAGCTGTTACTGGATTTGATTTTCATGGTGGCTACTCGCACCCAGTGTACGTCCCACTTCTACCATTCACTTTAATTGGGCTTGGGGTGGCCTTCATCACTTGTTCTTGACATCTGGTTTGCCAGCGGAGAATATGCCCTGGATCTGTTCATCCTACATGGCTTACCTGCAGTAATCGTAGCGTTGGCTGAGATGTAGCTGTCACCTTGCGATGCCCTTAGCAGAAGTGGAGCTGAGCACCTGTTTCTCTTTGTGCTACCTTCCTTTGTGTGTGCATCTTTGCCATGCAGACAATAGGAACTGGCTTAGGTTAAATCAGTGGTTCCTAAACTTTTTTTGGGCCACTGTCCCCTTGGCTCCATAACCTCACCCCCTGGCTCCCCTGCCCTATGAAAAGCTTTATTCAGAATAGCAGTTTCCACAACCCGCTAAGGAAGGCAATAGCACATTTATTCAAAATCCAGTTTAATCTGTTTTGTTCAACAAAACTGATGAACTTGATCCAGTGATGACCAGCTTTTCAAAGTCTGGTAGGACACCTCCAGTGCTTCCCTGCTTGGGAGCCACTGAGCTAAATGATTAAATAGTTTTCCATAGAGGAAACTAGTGAAGTTTATTTATTTGAAGTTCCATAGCTCGGTGGTGGTCCTGCCAACCTAGCAGTTCCAAAGCACGTCAAAGTGCAAGTAGATAAATAGGTACCACTCCGGTGGGAGTGTGCTGCTCTGGTTCGCCAGAAGCAGCTTAGTCATGCTGGCCACATGACCTGGAAAAACTGTCTGTGGACAAATGCTGGCTCCCTCGGCCAGTAAAGTGAGATGAGCGCCACAACCCCAGAGTCATCCGCCACTGGACTTAACTGTCATGGGTCCTTTCCCTTTACCTCGGTGGTGGAGTTTTTGATTTGCATGCAGGAGGTCTCAGGATCAGTTTCTGGCATCTCCAGGTAGAGCTGTATGAGACCCTGGAGAGCTGCTGCCTATTACTGAGCTAATGGTCTGACTCAGCACACGGCACCTTCCTCTGTTCCTATTTCTTATCATTCTTGCATCTCACCTTTCATCCCCTCACGGGATCCCAGGTATTTTCTAACCATTTCCCCCTGTCACTTTGAAAGTGCTGATATAATGGAGCACATCAACACTCAAAACAGCATCCAATTGGCTATTTGTCTTCCTAGGGTCATTTAAAACTTCCCCAGCTCAGTGCACAAATGACAAGTTCTCGTCATCTTTTTCTTCTGCCAGCACCGAAGGTTATGTGATCTGCGAAGAGTACAAAGAAGTGCTTGTTGCAGCGTGGGAGAACGAAGAAGCCGAGAGAGAGAAGAAGGAAAAGGAGGTGAGAATCACTCTGAGAGTTGGAGCAGCAGGAACTGACACTGCCAGAAATTGGTAGTGTTACAGATCTAATTAAATAGAGAGTTGCTGATAGTTTCCACAGTGTCTTATAGCACCTCCTATCTCGATAGGTGATAGCCGGAAACGACAAATGTTTAAGGATCTATTGCAGAAATGGAGTTCCTGTTGAACTTCTCCATTAGTGTCATTGTTAGAGAGCACTCGGCTTCTGCAATCATTCCTTCAATTTCTGATAAGCAGGTGTGCCTGCCAGGGCTTATGTTACCAAGACTAATTCTTCCATGCACAAGAGGTGGGTTATCAGTGGGCTTGCAGGAATCCCAAAATTTGCAGCATTTCTTTAAAAAAAAACCCCTAAGGGTAGGAACCCCAAAAACAACTAAAAGGGGACTGAGCATGGCCAGTGACTATGAAATGCTCACTTGCATTTGAGCGTCTGCTTAATCTGATACTTAGTCTTAGTTTACATTTGATGTTCTCATTTTCATATGATTGCATTGGTGTCGATGCTTATTTTTCTTGTTCTTGCTGATCAGCTGCATTATTTTGAGTTGCTTTTATTCTGCTTGTATTTTAATTGTTGTTTTTTTACATTGCATTGTACGTTGCCTAGAGGCGACTGATAAATATAACCAGCGAATATCACAGATTGTATAAATGCCTTTGATATCCTCTTTCTTCCCTGTGAGCAGATGGAGTTCTGTCAATTACACGCCATTCTTTTGTAGAATGTAAGGCCAGCTATAATTGGATTGGTGTGTGTGTCCATCCTTTGATTTCTGATTGAGTGAATTTTAAAAAACAGAAGCGGGAGAAGAGAGTCCTGGGGAACTGGAAATTGCTGACAAAAGGGCTTCTGATCAAAGAGAGACTGAAGAGACGCTACTCTACTAAGGTAATAAAAGGCCTTTAGTCTGTATTTTTACTGCTATAACGGTGTTCCTGCTGACATTATTTAGCCTAACAGTAACTTTGGGGAGTTTACATTCAAGGTATACATACATAGACTGAGGTGTGTATGCAGTCCTGTAGGTAAAAAAAGGTAAAGGACCCCTGGACAGTTATGTCCAGTCAAAGGCGACTATAGGGTGCGGCATTCATCTCACTTTTCAGACCGAGGGAACTGGCATTTGTCCACAGACAGCTTTCTGGGTCTTATGACCAGCAGGGACACCATGACCCAAGCCAGAGCGCACGGAAACGCCGTTTACCTTCCCACCACAGCGGTACCTATTTATCTACTTGCACTGGTGTGCTTTCGAACTGCTAGGTTGGCAGGAGCTGGGACAGAGCAATGGGAGCTCACTCCGTTGTGGGGATTCGAACCACTGACCTTCAGATTGGCAGACCCAAGAGGCTCAGTGGTTTAGACCACAGCGCCACCCGCAGTCCTGCACACATTTATTTAGGAGCTGAGTAGGATTGCAGTTTGTTTCAGGCCATTTGGATGACGGGGCTCAGCAGTGGCTTAGATGAAGATGCTGAAGGCCACTTGACCAAAATAGCCACGAACTGTGTAAAGTTTTAAGAAGGAAGCAGGTAACAGTAAGTTAATTCTACAACAGCTGGCGGGAAGGGAAATCAATCTTCCTTAACTTCAGAAATGGGGAGATATGAACTGAGCTCCCCCCACCCCTTTCTTCACACATGCACCCACCTTCTGGGATGTTACAGGTAAGAATAAATTGCCATAATGAGTGGTAGGAATTGTGAAATCATCACAATTAAGGCTTTGGGGTTTTTAAATCAGCCATGCTTAGCTGGCAACCAATACACAGATTTTACTGTTTTAATAACTTCAGAATGTATAGTGAGTTAGGGGTGTGTTTAATTGCTCTAACGATGCTGAAATGCACAGTGGCTCCTTTGGTTTAGTTGTTGTGGGAAAGGGCATAGCCTTCCACAGAAGGAAGCCAGTTCATATGGGATAAGTGATAAGAGAGCACATTCTTCTCACCTCCAGGGTTTTTTGCTTAAAGTCATGCCAGCGGCAAAATCCTGAAAAGTATTGCCTTGTACTTCAGTGATTCCACTTTCTTGTCAATGCAATTGTCCAAGATCATCATCTAAACATTGGAATTTGGTCTAGATGTCTTTGCACAGCCAGTTGAAACTCCTTTGCAGATGAGGTTCTCTTCACAGCAGCAGTTAACATCCCACCATTTGTTGGCTTTTACTTGTTTGTGAACCATCTTGGTGTTCCTTCTCAAAATGAACGGCAGTACGTATATTCTTTTACTAGTAACAATTGCTTCTCTTCCAGAATGAGGCAGCAGGAGCAATGGTGACTCCGGGAGGCGGGTTCTCCTCTGATGAGGATGAAGGAGGCGGAGAACCAAGCTCAGAGACACCAGCTGGGGATGTGGACGTTTCTTGGCCCCAAAATCGGCAACTGGAACAAGAGAGGGAGGGAGGGAAAAGGACCAGAAAAAGCAAGAGGGAAAAGAAAGGAGAAGCAAAATACTTGTTCCCATTTGAGAAGCTGTAACTGGAAGCAGCCACTGTGGCAAAGAAAAGAAGAGTCTTCATAAAGAGACCAACTTGTAAATAGCTTCAGATTTAGGAAATAATATATTTTTTTATTTGCTGCAAGATGGAGATTTGAGTTTTGACTCAATATGTTAAGAGAGCAATTGTTTGATTGTGTGTGAAAATACTTCTGGTGAGAATAAATCAGGGAGTTCATAGGAACCTTTATAAGTCTTGGCCGTAGAATACACATTTTACTCCATTTGCGGTTGCAAATGTGGATTGTGCCAAGTTGGCTAAAAGAGCTTAGAATTAGATATGTTTTTATTACCCTCTCTTCAGAGGAGCGAGCCTTGCTCCTTTGTATTTGTGGAGTTACGGGGAACAGGCTGGTTTAGACCAGTTGTGGGGGATTCTGTGATCCTCCAGAAGTAGCTGGGACTACAAATCCCATCATCCTTGGCCCCTGGCCTTGCTGGCTGGAGTTGTAGCCCAACACGTTCCCCACCTCTTATCTTAGGTGCTATCAATCAGACGCTTTGCGAATGCTGTTTCCCCTTGAACATTTTTGCAATTCCTTGGTTTCCCAGCGGTTAGCAGTGTCTCTTTCACTGTCCTCATCCCTTCTGTTTGTCTGAAAGACGATTTACATGGTAGCTATAAAGGTCCCAAGTATGTCATCAATGGCTTGAAGGTGGTGATGTCCTTTGCTTGTAAAGAGTTTAAAATTTTTTGGCTTCAGGAAAAGGTGCAGGCCATCCACATTTTGGGCACAGTCCCCCGTGAAATTTGCCAGGACAAACAACAGAAGCAAGTGGAGAGTGTCAGAAAAAAACATTGCTTGTGCTCTTGCACATTTCCCCACTTATTTCTAGAGAGCTTGTGCAAGAGACACAAATGGGAACCTTTTTGCTAGTTAAAAAAGTACTATAGGAGCTTTGGGTAGGGGGACTTCTCAAGAATCATTTAGTTTTTGTCTCTCTTCCTTCTGCATCCTCATAAATAAGCCTCATTATAAGCCATGTCTGTTTTGAGCACTGAACTAAAGTTACGATGGCTCCAGTCTGAAATGGTCTGAGTGAGCACATTCTAAACAGAACTGACATATAAGAATGTATGCTTGCATTCTGCCGTTACTTAATGGATCACTGTACAATGACTTGTTTGCCTCTTCTATAGAGTGCTTTCACTTATACACACTTTTTGCTACAAAAGAAATGTTAATGATACCACTTGACACAGCTTTAAAAATTACACATTTTTACTGGCCTGAAATTTTTTTGCATTTTTTTTTAAAAAAACTCCCTTTAACTAGTATTTAGCACTTTAAAAATAACCAGGAAAAATATTTTTGTACCGAATCCTTAGTTTAAAATAAAAGCTTTAATATTATTTTATGCAAGAGTCTTCTTTCTTTCCAGAGATGGCCATTGGTGGGTGCCGCATGCTACAAACACCTGCTTCACATTTCTCTGCATTGCACTGTAGGCTAGATTTCTGTACCCCAGAAGCTGCTAAGTGATGGCTCTCTAGATGTTTTTGGGAATAAAACGCCCAACATCCTTGAGAGTTGACTATGCTGGCAGGGCCTGATGGAACAGCTGGAGGAAACCATATTGACTACTTGAACCATATTGGCAACATGATCTAAATATAGAATTCAAGGCAGAAAGGAAGGATAAATATTGACAAGATTGGGTACATTATGTAAGTTCCAGTTGTTGCCAAGGGAAGAGTAGGAACCATTTGAAAAGATGCATCCTTTGTGTGAACTTCCAATGGAAAAATGCACTACATACATTAGCAGGTTCATTAAAGGATAAATAAATTTCATTTGCCTAGATTATGAAAGAGTTGCACTGTGATTATTAATTCACGGGAGACTCAATTTTTCAGTTACAGATAGGTAGCCATGTTGGTCTGCCATAGTCAAAACAAAAAAAATTCCTTCCAGTAGCACCTTAAAGACCAACTAAGTTAGTTCTTGGTATGAGCTTTCGTGTGCATGCACACTTCTTCAGATACACTGAAACAGAAGTTGCCAGATCCTTCTATATAGTGAGAAGGTGGGGAGGGGTATTACTCAGAAGGGTGGTGGGAATGGGTGATTGGCGGATAGCTGAGATGAGCCTGTTGACGACTCTTAACGACTGCAATAGGTCTTACAGGAAAAAGCAAGGGGTGAGAAGGTGAAAAATGGCTTTGTCATGTATAATGAGATAAGAATCCAATGTCTTTGTTCAGACCAGGTCTCTCCATGGTTTTAAGTTTGGTAATGAGTTGCAATTCAGCAGCTTCTCTTTCTAGTCTATTTCTGAAATTCCTTTGTAGTAAAACAGCTACTTTGAGATCTTGTATAGAATGTCCTGGGAGATTGAAGATTTCAGAAAAGTGACACATCAACTGAGCCAGTTTTGTGGCTGTCCATGGTAGCCAGACATGCTGAACAAATCAGTTTCCTGCTTGTCCCACAAGGTGCTTGAAGATGTTTTAATTGCAGGCATGCAATTCTCCTCTCTTGTTGAATGGGCGTCCTTAAAACCAAATCCTGGTTTAAAAAGAAAACCACACACCAGCACTCATTGATCTTTTATTCATGGAATACAAAAGTCTGGCACTGCCACCCAAATTTAAAAAAAAACCACCAAAACATAAAAGCCAGCATTGCCACGTATCTTTTTTTTAAAAAAACAGCCACCCAAGCATTTCAAGTGTTGCTGTCTGGAATTTACTCCTCGGCTTACAAAAAAACCCCGGCTTAATATTTTCCTCTGTGCAATTATCTAGCACACAGTTGACATAATAACAACACCTTAAGCAATACCACCTCAAGCCTCTTAAATAGCAGATATAGTCAGTTCCATTATGCCAGGACTGGGTTGAGATCATCTGCCTATTCAAGCAATGACCAGAGACTCCTTGCACAGCAGTATCCAAGCTCCAAGAATAGGAAAAGACCAGACAATATTAAAATAATTATCATCTGCTTTCCCAGAATGTGACTCTCCCCTCCAGGAGTCACTATGAGGAATCTTAACAACAATGGGATTAACTCTTCAGACATTTTGGGTAAAATGTATGGAGTTTACTCCTTTTTTTCCAACTACAAAGGATAGCTGCAGGTGTATAAGAGGCATGGGACACAAAACAGTAACAGTACTTGCAGAGGTTTACATGTAGAAATATTATGTTGCAATGATTACTATCAGTAAAAATAATACATTCCTCTGCTTAAATGAAAGAAAGGTGGTATCCTGAGGCTGTTGATACAGCTTTGGTTTTAAGTCATAGTTTCCTAATTAAACTATTAATTTTTATTTTATTTTTTGCAAATAAAGCGAGTTCTTCATATGGTGCAAATCCCTACTCAGTTCACTTAGCATCTACCAGACTACAGAAAAAGTGAGTGGGAGCAAGATAAAGCTCTAGGCACACTTAAAATTGGGATGCAACGGGGGCATGGGGGAAGAACAGTCCAAAAACACTTTAACATGGCCATTTCACCCCTTACATCATATGCAAGCTCCTAGCATCAAAGTATATAACTTTAACAGAGATAAGCAAGGAAAAGGCACACAAAAACCCCTAATGATTTACAGAGTTTCAAAAACCTGATGTGGTCTTCATCAATACAACAAACCACCTATCCTTATGAGGGTGTTTAAATCAAGCTGCAAAGGCAGCTTCGCTTGATTGTGCTTAATATCTGGCACACAAAAATTCTATTCCATTTCTACCATTTTGTATCCATCAACTTAAAAAAGACAAGTTGCACTTTTTCACTTGGTTACGTAATAAAAACTGTACACATGTTCTGCATCTAGGTCCATCATGGAACTCTTTGGTGTCGTACTGTCTGGATTGCAACGTCAAGGAGTTTTCGTTTTGGAAAACAGAAAACAAAACCCACACATACACAGTGGCAATTGCTTGAGAAGTTCTGGGCGTCTCCAGAGATTCAGGTGTGCACCTTGAGGCCCCTTCTCCACGGCATCACTGCTGCTTCTTGGGTGGAACCCGGGACCTCGCAATCACAATGGGAACCGCCGCCAACAGGGCAATCAGTCCTGCCCAGAGAGGCCTGTAAAAGAGCCAGCCCACCGAAATGGTCAGCAGGGACAGAGAAGAGGCCAAGCAAAAGGCAAATGCTTTCAGGCCAAGGTTAACCAGGTCCCGGACTACTGGAAACCAGTCCACTGTAGCGGGAAAGAAGAATTAAACAAGTCATGAAGCAGTGACACACTGGTGAAAGTTCAGCATGATGACACGTTGCTGCTAAACCGTGCTTTAAACCTCATCCAGCATTCTCATAAATCTTCTTCCTCCCCAAATTACCCACCACTAAGTCAGTAAAAAACAAACTTTGCCCTAATCCTCTGAGCACTGAAAAGCCACAGAGGACAGAAAGTTAACAGTGCAGAAGTTGGATGGGGGAGATCAAAGCTCAGGTCTCCACTTGGCCACGGAATAAGCTTGGGCTTGTCACTTGTAAACTGAAAGCATACCATATATACCACCCAGAGCTCCTTAGAGGAAACAGAGGTGGGATACAAATGTAATAAACAAAATAGTTTCCATTAAGTTTGGAAATCTGATTTGACAGGTGGTAGCATCCTCTGTATAGTCCTTTGGTATCATCTGAAGGAACATGAGGCCACCTGTTTGCCGGAGCTGAAAAGTCTGGACCTGGTGAGCTCCCTGGTGGGGGACCACAAATAAGCGGCTCCATGATGGAAGGCAGGTAGGATCTTAATGTAAGAAAAATAATAATAAGGCTGCCATCCCTAACTGTCCACTCAGAAGTCAGCCCTGTTGAATTGAACGGGTCTTACTCCCAGGCAAGTGGGGTTACAATTGCAGCCTAAGTCAACCACCCACTTCACAAAGGGGGAAAGCAAAGCCTTGGAGAACCCAGAGTCTCAAAAGAGATTATGCAGAAGAGGTAGGACTCGACATATTTTCTGTTGTGTGGAACATGGTTCTCATTCACTTCTGTTGAGTTTCACACCCTTACTGTAGCTCTGCTCAAAAACAAGCAAGTACCTTCCTTCCCCCTCTTAGCAAACCGTATTCTAAACTAGAGTGTCCTGTGAAAGTGCCTCCCTAATCCTGGATCATCAGCATGAGAGATAACACAAAGCACAGGAAGGGGAGAACTGAGTTACAATTCATCCGTTAATGTTCAAGCCCTGGAGCAGGATCACTACACTCAGGGCTATTTTCCCCAGCCAGAACTCACCAGAATTCAGCTCTGGCACCTCTCAGGTGAGCGCCATTGCCATTATAAGAGAACAAGGGAGACATTCATGGTGAGTTCCGGCACCTCTTTTTCTAGAAAAATAGCACTATTATAATGACAGACTTGCTATTATAGTACAGAAGTTGCTTGGATCCAATATATTGATTTAATAATAATAATAATAATAATAATAATAATAATAATAATAATAATAATAATAATTTGATTAAATGCTTGATTTATCAATCAAGTCAGGTTGCTACCAGCAAAACTTACCCAGGGTGTAAAAAATCCTGGTCATAAGGCTGATGCCTACAAACATAGACATCCATCCAGCTGCACGGAGGCCCCAGGTCTTCATGCTGTTACTTTCATGTTCTTTCTGGAACACCTCCTAAAATGTGTTCAGTGTTCAGTGAGTACACCAAGCTTTCCTATAAGATCCAGCTCTGCTACTTCTACATACCACTGTTCTGAATTTTTTATGCGTAAGACAATGGCTATGTTTGGATGCAACACGAAACCGTGCTTTAGTGTTACATGCATGAACATGATGTCCAAATGCAGCTGATATAAATCTATACACACACTATTTACAATATTCAACATAGATGGAAGCAAACAACTGACTTTTATTACTTAAAAAAGAAGCAGTAGCAGCAATACTGACCCTCCTGCCCTTTGTAACACATAATGAAATAACATTCCATTAAGTTGATCTACATTGCTAGATTACATCACTGCTCTTTTGGGTCAGAGTGTGAGATAATCCTTGATTGGAATCATGCTGATCAAGTATGTAGTGGACACACACACCCAGCTCCATCTAGACTGGCCTTCCCCACCGCAGTGCCCTCCAGAAGATTTGGACTTCAAATACCACCAGTCCAACTGAAGGAGATCAGAGTCCCAAATGTCTGGAAGGTTGGCACATTGTGGAGGGCAGATCCAGCCAGCCACACACACACACACACACACACACACACACACACTGCTTCTATGTTTTTAACAGATGAGGGTGGGCAGTGATTTCCTGCCTGTCTTAAGGACTTCGTGAAAGTAGGATATTGGGGGGAAATGTGTGAAACAACCTGGGGGTGTGGGGAAGAGGAGTGGAGTGAGGTGGCTAAAACATATTGCTGGAACAGAAGATAAAGA